GCATAAAGTCCCTCAGCAGATGCAGCCCCTCGATCTCTGACTTCCTAGCTTCCAGAACTGTGAGCCTAATAAACTCTTATCATTTATAAATTACCCAGTCTGTACTACTCTGTTATAGCAACACGAAACAGAGAAGACAAATGGAAACTCTCTCAGCTGTCTGCCTGCATTTGTTTACATTCTTTCTTCTTGAAGCATCCTTCCATCCAAGGTCAAAATCAATCAATCTTTCTTTCTTTCTTTTTCTTTTCTTTCTTTCCTTCCTTTCTTTCTCTCTCTCTTTGTATTTTTAGTAGAGACTGGGTTTCACTATGTTGGCCAGGCTGGTCTCGAACTCCTGCCCTGCATCGGCCTCCCAAGTGCTGGAATTACAGGCACGAGCTACTGCGCCTGGTGAGAAAGAGTCTATTTATGCACATCTTGAAATAAGCAAAACCTACCCATGTTCAAGGAAAATTCTATCTCAGGAAACTTGTACAAATGACAATCCTTTCTCTCTAAATATTCATTCTATTCTGTTTTAAGGGCTTCTTTCTTTTTGCCTTTAGATACATTCAAGTCTCTTCCATCTTAATAAAAACAAAAGACAAATTAGTCTGCCTTAGGCCTTTATATTCCCTAAGACGCTTCATCTCCTCTCATCCAGCCACAGTTCTAGAAGGAGCTGTCAACAGCTGCCATCTCCAGTTCCTCCTGTTCCTCATATATGCCTTTCTCCTCAGCCTAGCTCATCTCCATCCTGTCACTCTTCCTCCCTTGACCTCTTCTTTCAAATAACCTCCAAAGGACATTAATGACCTCTGTGTCAATAAATCAACTGGTCATGCTTGAGCCACGCCTGGTCCTCCTAATTCTCTGGCAACTTCTTAGCTGCTTTTGTCAGTTCATTATCCTTTTTTTTTTTTTTTTTGAGATGAAGTTTCACTCTTGTTACCCAGGCTGGAGTGCAATGGCACAATCTCGGCTCACCACAACCTCCGCCTCCTGAGTTCAAGCAATTCTCCTACCTCAGCCTCCCGAGTAGCTAGGATTACAGGCGTGCGCCACCATGCCCGGCTAATTTTTGTATTTTTAGTAGAGATGGGGTTTCACCTTGTTGACCAGGATGGTCTCAATCTCTTGACCTCGTGATCCACCCGCCTCGGCCTCCCAAAGTGCTGGGATTACAGGCGTGAGCCACTGCGCCCGGCAGTTCATTATCCTTTAATCAACCATCGATGTGGACACTTATCAGAAAGTGGCCTAAAGCCCTATTGACTTATCATGATATGGTCTTTGTCTAAGTCAAGGGTCAGCAGAGTGTCTGCAAAAGGGCCACACAACAAATATTTTAGGCTCCGCAGACTACACTATCTCTAGGTCTCTATCATAGCCATACAGCTTGAAAGCTGCCAGATGAATGGGCATGGTCATGTTCCAATAAAACTTGATTTATAGACACAAAATTTGAATTTCATTAATTAACACATGTCAGAAAGTATTATTATTCTTTTGATTTTGTTCCCCTAACCATTCAAACATATAAAGACAATTCTTAGCTTGTGGGCTATACGGAAACATATAGGCAGCCCCAGGGTCAGTGTATGCCCTGTTCTAAGTGTTCTTCTCACCCTTATAACCTTAATTACTATCTACACACAATAATTCCAAATTTAAACCTGGAGCTCAAACACATTTTTAAAGTTCCAAACACACATGTTCAACTGGTTTCTCGACCTCTCCTCTTGGGTGTCTCATTGGGTCCTTAAATATCCCAAAATGACCCCGACTCCTCCCTCAGTCCACAAATCCAAACAAGCACCAGGTTCTGCTGAGTCTATATCCTGTCTTTATCTTGTAACATTCTATTCTTACCATTCACTCTGCAACCATTCCAATCTATGCCATCCTCATCATTTGCTCTGTTGCAACTGCTTCCTGAATTGTCTCCTAATATCTCCCCATCCCCTTGCAACCCATTGCAGCCAATCTAATATTTAAAAACACAAATCTGGCCAGGTGCAGTGGCTGATGCCTGTAATCTACGCACTTTGGGAGGCCAAGGCAGGTGGATCACAAGGTCAGGAGTTCAAGACCAGCCTAGCCAAGATGGTGAAATCCTGTCTCTACTAAAAAATACAAAAATTAGCCAGGCATGGTGGTGGTTGCCTGTAATCCCAGCTATTCAGGAGGCTGGAGCAGAGAATTGCTTGAACCCAGGAGGCAGAGGTTGCAGTGAGCCAAGATCGCACCATTGCACTCCAGCCTGAGCAACAGAGCAAGAATCCGTCTAAAAAAAAAAAAAAAAATCACTAATTTGACAAGATTACTTTCCTGCTTCAAGTACTTTTGCCACTTTGCCAAAAAGTCTTTAATGAGCCACTTTACCAAAAAGACTTTAATTCATTAAAGCCTGCAGGTTGCCACAGTATCTGCCCAACTCTTCTCTCCATCCCTCCTCACCCTGGGCCTCTCACCTTTTCCTTTTCTTTCTTTCTTTTTTCTTTTTGTTTTGTTTTGTTTTGTTTTGCAGGGCAGCAGGGTGGACAGCCTCTCACTCTGTCACTCAGGTTGGAGTGCAATGGTGCAATCACAGCTCACTGCAGTCTCAAACTCCTGAGCTCAAGCAATTCTCCTGCCTCAGCCTCCCAAGTAGCTGGGACCACAGGTGTGTGCCACCATACCTGGCTAACTTTATTTTTATTTTTTGTAAAGACAGGGTCTCCCTATGTAGCTTAAGCTGGTCTTGAACTCCTGGCCTCAAGCAATCTTCCTGCCTTGGCCTCCCAAAGTGCTGGGAATACAGGCATGAGCTACCACACCCAGTCTGCACCTCCTCCCTTATCTTACTCCAGCCATCCTGGTACTATAATGGTCTATGCATTTTAAGCCTTCTCTAAGAAAGCCTGCCCTACCCTGAAACCACAGGATTATTCTTCCCATATTTTCTATTAATGGTTTTTCTGTTTTTGATTTACCATTTTGATATATGTGAAAATTATTTGTGGGGGGGCATAAGCAATATATCTAATATATATCTAATATATCTTTACCCATCTAATATATCTTTATCCATTTGGATAATGTTTCCAGCACCATTTATTGAATAGTGCTGATTTTTAGTGCTATTTGCTTCTCAGTCTAAGCTCCTTGGGTCAGTTTCTAAGCTATTATTTTCCATTTATCTATTTTTTTTTTCTAATAGCAATAGCATCATTTCAGTTATTATGCTCAAAATGTTCTTGGCTATTTTTGGTCCTTGCACTTGCCAATTAACTAGGATCAGCTTGTAAGTTTCTGATAAGAATTCTGCTGTGATTTTTACTGGAAGATGTCAACAAAAAGTCAGTAATCCCCCCCTTCAGTGAATAATATCAAAAAGCCATAAAGAGAATGAGAACTAGCAACTCTAATTTCATTGAAACTAGAAGAAACAGAAACTGTAAACCACAAAGTATGTGCAGGAGTTTTCAGAGCAGCAAAGTTCAAACAGTATTGCATGTGGAAAGAAGCAGGCAGGGGATATCGATTTCCACAAATCTCAGAATGAGCCAGCAAAGTCAATTTCTCCAAGGTGAGAGGACACTCTTAGACAAACAAAAGCACAAGTCCTGGCTTCTTTTTACACCAATGCAATCAGAATGCCTGAACTGGCAGAAAGAATGTCTATGGACCTGGTTTGGTTCCAAAGAAGCAAAGGAGAAGAGGCTAAATGAAGAAACTCACGGATAAGCTGGATGTATAACTACCTACCAAAAATCTACTGCAAACATGTTATTCTTTTTTTCTCTCTCTCTTTTTGAGACAGAGTCTTGCACTATTGATTGGGTTGGAGTGCAATGGTGCGATCTTGGCTCACTGCAACCTCCGCCTCCTGGGTTTACATGATTCTTCTGCCTCAGCCTCCCAAGTAGCTGGGATTACAGGCACACACCACCACACCCGGCTAATGTTTTGTATTTTTAGTAGAGATGGGGTTTCACTATGTTGGCCAGACTGGTCTCAAACTCCTTACCTCGTGATCCACCCACCTCAGCCTCCCAAAGTGCTGGGATTACAGGCATGAGCCACCGCGCCTGGTCGCAAACATGTTATTCTTAAAGATGAAATCTTAGAAGTATTTTATTTAAAGAAAGTAATAAGGATAACATTACCACTTTCATATTCAACATTTTAAAGGAAACTGTAGCCAGCTTGATAAGGCCAGAAAAAGAAAAAAGTTATAAGAATTGGAAAAGAAAGACCTTTTCTGTCAAAAGTAGAATTAGGGCAGGAAGAGAGAATACACCAGATTTATCTAATCTTTGCCTCTACTTTTTAGGCAATGCTTAGGCAATTTCTTCACAATTACCATCAGCATCAAAGTAATGTTATCAACAACTACTTAACTATGAGTTTAACTTATTTCTCTGCTTGCTGTTTTTTTACATTCCATTTATCTCTTTCTTAATATTTTATACAATTAGACTACATCCTTGGGTAATGAATAATAAATGTTCTGAAAGTTCTTACATTTGTTTTCACTCTTGAATGATAGATTTGTTGGTACATAATTCTGAATTTAAGATAATCTCCCTTGGAACTTGGCTCATCACTTTCAGTATCAAATGTCACTAATGAAGACTCTGTTACTAATTAGATCTTTTCCTTTGCTAGATAATCTATGCTCTATATAACCTTTTAGGATTTTTTTTCTTTGACTTTGAGGACTTGAAATTTTATCAGAAAATATCTAATGTGTGGATTTCTTTTAAAAATTAACTGGCATTCTATAGGTACTTTCAAAGCCAGTCTCAGTGTTACATACCTATAATACCAGCTGCTCAGGAGGCTGAGGTGGGAGGATAGTTTGAGCCTAGAAGTTCAAGACCAGCCTGGGCAACATCGTAAGACTCCACATCAAGTTAAAAACAAACGAACAACAAAAAAGGGGGCACTTTCAATCAGAAGATTCAAATTTTTGTTTAGCTCTTGAAAACGGTTTTTAAATTTATGTGACAGACCCTCTTTCATTCAAATAGAGGTTATGGGCTTCGGAAAGTAGCGGTGAACTCTGGCTCCCACCAGAATAGACACACCTTTCCACATGGCCTTGAGTTTCAGCAACAATATCCAGTTAACAGCTTTGGTGACAACTGTAGCATCAGAATTTGGTAAGATTACTTTCCTGCTTCGAGCACTTCAAGCCCACCATGGTGTGCACTGCAGCACCAAGGGAGGCCCTGGGGTCTTTCCACCTGAAAGCAGCTTGTTCTGCTCATTAGAACAAGTGGGGATTCTGGAATTCCTATTCATACCCTAAATAGTAAAGCCAGATCCCCACGCTCCAGCCCACTAAGGTATAGTATATATAAAACCAAAAAACAATACTTAAAATGTTCATTTATCTCGGGAGGTATGTTAGTTTCATATGGCTGTTTTAACAGATGGACAAAAACTCAGTGGCTGGGTTTTTTTGTTTGTTTGCTTGCTTGCTTGTGAGACAGAGACTCACTCTTATCACCCAGGCTTCCAGCAAGGGCGAGATCTAGGCTCACTACAACTTCCACCTGTGGGGGTTCAAGCCATTCTCCTGCCTCAGCCTCCAGAGTAGCTGGGATTACAGGTGCACACCACCACACTCAGCTAATTTTTTTTTTTTTTTTTTTTTTAAAGTAGAGATGGGGTTTCACCACATTGGCCAGGCTGGTCTTGAACTCCTGACCTCAGGTGATCTGCCCGCCTTGGCCTCTCAAAGTGCTGGGATTACAGGCATGAGCCACAGCACCTGGCTTCAGTGGCTGTTTTAACACAAATTTATGATCTTCTATGGGTCACAAGTCTGACGTAGGTCTCACTGGACTAAATTCAAGGCACTGGCAGGGCTGCAGTCCTAACTGGAGGGTCTAGCAGGCGTCCCCAAACTACGGCCCGTGGGCCGCATGCAGCCCCCCTGAGGCCATTTATCCGTCCCCCCCCACCGGCCGCACTTCAGGAAGGGGCACCTCTTTCGTTGGTGGTCAGTGAGAGGAGCACAGTATGTGGCGGCCCTCCCACGGTCTGAGGGACCGTGAACTGGCCCCCTGTGTAAAAAGTCTGGGGACGCCTGGGCTAGGGAGCATGTTCCCTCATCTTTTCTAGCTTCTACAGGCTGCCCACATTCTTTGGCTCCTGGTCACCTTACTCAATCTTCAAACCTAACAACATTGCATTTCTCTAACCATTCTTCCCTCATCCCATCTCCCTCCAACCACAGCAGGAAAGTTTCTCTGTTTTTAAGGAACAATGTGATTAGACTCGGCCCAACTTTACTTCTTATTCCCAAATTCTTCAACAAAGAATTTGAGAAATGGATTCTGAAACTCATGTTAACAATGTTTATGAATGACTTTTTTTTTTTTTTTTTTAAGATGGTCTCACTCTATTGCCCAGGCTGGAGTGCAGTGGTAAGATCTCAGCTCAGGCCGGGCGCGGTGGCTCAAGCCTGTAATCCCAGCATTTTGGGAGGCCGAGGTGGGTGGATCACGAGGTCAAGAGATCGAGACCATCCTGGTCAACATGGTAAAACCCCGTCTCTACTAAAAATACAAAAAATTAGCTGGGCATGGTGGCGTGTGCCTGTAATCCCAGCTACTCGGGAGGCTGAGGCAGGAGAATTGCCTGAACCCAGGAGGCGGAGGTTGCGGTGAGCCGAGATCGCGCCATTGCACTCCAGCCTGGGTAACAAGAGCGAAACTCCGTCTCAAAAAAAAAAAAAAAAAAAAGATCTCAGCTCACTGAAACCCCTGCCTCTGGAATAGCTGGGACTACACATGCGTGCCACCACACTTGGCTAATTTTTTTTTTGTATTTTTAGTAGAGTTGGGGTTTCACCATGTTGGCTAGATTGGTCTCGAACTCCTGGCCTCAGATGATCCACCCACCTCAGCCTCCCAAAGTGCTGGGATTACAGGTGTGAGCCACCGTGCCCAGCCTTGAATGACTTACTTTTTTATGGCCTTATGTATAGGATTTTGTAATGGACCACAAGGTCAAGATTAGGATGAGACATGTGAAACACCTGGGGTTTAAAACTCAAGAAGGTATTCACATTCAGGATCAGCACTCTCAAGACCCTGAGAGTGAACGCCTCATCACTTGACCCTAGTCCTGGCTGGATACACAATAAACCTACGCATAAATCATTAATACAGAAATAGTGTTACTCTTACTCTGAGAGCATGATGCAAGTTATTCAAATAGCAGATTCAGGCATCACACATCACCAATGAAGTGACGCCGTACAAGTAAGTTTTAGGAAAATACATGCTTTACCTTAGGTGATGGATGCCTTACATGGAAACATTATAGACCCAAATATTGCTGAGCCAAACATACACCTCTGCAGTCTAGGGTTAGTGTTAGTCAACTAGGCTATAACAAATTAAATTGCAAGACCAATAATAACTAATAATTTAAAAACAAGAAGAGCAATTGAAAACAAAACCAACTCAGCACTACACCGATAACAAAGTGCCCTTGTGGAGTGCCAATGAGATCCATTCATGTGCATATCCAGTAGGCATGTCACAAGATCGGCAAGTTTAATAAGAAGCCAGACTCAGGCCGGGTGCCATGGCTCACGCCTGTAATCCCAGCACTTTGGGAGGCTGAGGCAGATGGATCACGAGGTCAGGAGTTTGAGACCAGTCTGGCCAACATGGCAAAACCCTGCCTCTACTAAAAATACAAAAAAATTAGCTAGATGTGGTGGCAGGTGCCTGTAATCCCAGCTACTTAGGAGGTTGAGGCAGGAGAATCACTTGAATCTGGGAGGTGGAGGTTGCAGTAAGCCAAGGTCGTGCCATTGCGCTCTGGACTGGGTGACAAAGTGAGACTCTGTCTCAAAAAAAAAAAAAAAGAAAAGAAAAAAAAAGAAGCTGGACTCAGCAATGGGATACTGAATATGAACCCTAGTAATGCATTGATTTTAATTTTTGAACACAAAATTATACTTTATAATTTAGTTATTAGTAACTAATTACCAAATAATAATTAGGTATTTAGTAACTATTAGTATTAGTAACTATTTATAACTATTAGTAACTACTAAATACTAAAGACTCCTCAGTTGCCATAAAAATTACAGTTTTCAATTCTGTATTATATCACCATAAGAAAAGAGGAGAATCACTTTGCTGCCAAAAAGGATCCTCAAGGTACATATACTAGGCTGGGCATGGTGGCTCATACCTGTAATCCCAGCACTTTGGAAGGCCAAGGCAGGCGGATCACCTGAGGTCCGTGTAAGGTTTTTAAACTGACTGCACCATGGTCACCATGGTGACCTCCATGACTCACACGTACCATCTGGATGGCCTCCTGGAGCCAGAGAATCTGAAGTAACAGAAACACCACAAAAAGAAGGAAAACGGCTGCTCCTGCAGAGCCCAATTAACAAATCTGTCAACATTCCACCATTGTTCCAGACTCAATCATTCCTGCCTTAACTGATAACTTAACCTTGTGACACTGGACCTTGTGATACCCACCCCCAGCAACACCCCCTGGCTTAAAAAAAAAACAAACCCAGGCCGGGCGCGGTGGCTCAAGCCTGTAATCCCAGCACTTTGGGAGGCCGAGGCGGGTGGATCACGAGGTCGAGAGATCAAGACCAACCTGGTCAACATGGTGAAACCCCGTCTCTACTAAAAATACAAAAAATTAGCTGGGCATGGTGGTGCGTGCCTGTAATCCCAGCTACTCAGGAGGCTGAGGCAGAAGAATTGCCTGAACCCAGGAGGCGGAGGTTGCGGTGAGCCGAGATCGCGCCATTGCACTCCAGCCTGGGTAACAAGAGCGAAACTCCGTCTCAAAAAAAAAAAAAAAAAAAAAAAAAACCCACCTGTACCCCACAGAAAAACTCTTCTACTTCCTAAAAAAATTCAACAAAAACACCTCAAATATCTCATACCAACAGACTGCTGTTCTTCTTCACAGGTGTGAGCCACCACGCTCAGCTAATATTTTGTATTTTTAGTAAAGACAGGGTTTCACCAGGCTGGCCAGGCTGATCTCAAGTCCCACCCTTATATGACTTCCTAAAAAGACAAGAAGGAACTACAATATAAGACATTCAATAGCTTTCTTATCATAACCACCAAGAAATATAATGGGGAAAGATTCCACTATCATAAAATACATATAAACAATTTAAACAAGAGAAGTTTGAGAGAAAAGGCAAGGTGGGGAAAAAGTGTTCAGATACAGATATAATCACCTTTTTACATAAAGCAGCCAATTACAAATCAGTAAGAGAGGACTGTCATTATAAAAAGTTGTGGGAGGAGGAGGAGTTGGATTTCACAGTTGTCAGCAAGGGAAACACCAGGAAAGAAGGAGATGGTGAAGTGGCAGATTTAGTATTCATATGAAACTATATAGTCATCCATCAGTATATGGGGGGGTTGCTTCCAGGAACCCCACATATACCAAAATTCATGCACACTCAAGTCCTTCCCTAAGAAACTCAGTATAGGAAAAGTCAGTCCTTCCTATACGTGGATTTCACATCCCACAAATACTGTATTTTCCATCAACATTTCGTTGAAAAAATTTTAGGTGTAAGTGGATCTACTCAGGTCAAATCCACACTACTGAAGGGTCAATTGTAGTTAAAAGAAACCCGTATAAGACCAATCTCCTCAACTCCACCTGTGTTTTGGGAAGATGGAGTGGAAGAATGTTGGGATCTGTATAAAACGTAATTTTTTTTTTTTTAAAGACAGAGTTTCGCTTTTGTTGCCCAGGCTGGAGGGCAATGTCGAAATCTCAGCTCACTGCAACCTCCACCTCCCAGGTTTAATTGAGTCTCCTGCCTCAGCCTCCCAAGTAGCTGGAAGTATATGCATGAGCCACCACGCCAGCTAATTTTTTGTATTTAGTGGAGGTAGGGTTTCACCATGTTGACCAGGCTGGTCTCGAACTCCTCACCTCAGGTGATCCACCCACCTTGGCCTCCCAAAGTGCTGGGATTACAGCCGTTAGCCACCATGACCAGTCTTAAAATATGCATTTTTTTAAAACAGAGATGGGGCCGGGCACCATGGCTCATGCCTGTAGTCCCAGCATTTTGGGAAGTTGAGGCAGGCAGATCACCCTGAGGTCAGGAGTTCAATAACAGCCTGGTCAACATGGTGAAACCCTGTCTCTAGTAAAAATACAATTAGCCAGGCATAGTGGTGCATGCCTATAATCCCAGCTACTCAGGAGGCTGAGACAGGAGAATTGCTTGAACCCAGAAGGCAGAGGTTGCAGTGAGCTGAGATTACACCACTGCACTCCAGCCTGGGCAACAGAGTGAGATTCCACCTCGAAAAATACAATACAATACAATACAATACAATACAATACAATACAATACAATACAATACAATAAAAATAGAGATGGGATCTTGCTCTGTTGCCCAGACTGGTCTCCAACTCCTAAGCTCAAATGATCCTCTCACTTACGTCTCCCAAAATGCTGGGATTATAGGTGTTAGCCACCATGCTTGGCCCAAAACGTGCATTCTAAGATCATCATCAAGAGGTAGAGTTTCTTGTACCCCTGCAGTTCTCAAAGTATGGCTCCTAGAGCCGTCAGTACTGGGAACTTGAAAATGAAATTATCCGTCCCCTCCCCACACCTGCAGAATTAGAAACTCTGCAGGGAGGAGTAGCCAGCTGTGTTCTCAAGCTCAGGTGATTCTGAGTTATGCTAACCTTTGAGAACACCTGTCATAGGGAAATAATTTTCCTGTAATGTGTTTTAGAAATTTAGCTAAGTAATTTGTGTGTTTGAATCCTTATTATAGATATTAAATCATATTTAAAGGCTAATAGGTTACACTCTAAAAATTAAGTCTTTAATGCATTAAATTTCCATGCCTCATTAAGTAAAAGATTCACAGAGGTGAATCAAGGAATAGGTGGTTCTTCCAATGGTTTGTTTTGTTGATTCATTGGTGTTCTAAAGAAAGGCTAGGCATGTTGGCTCACACCTGTAATCCCAGCACTTCGGGAGGCTGAGGTGGGCAGATCACAAAGTCAGGAGTTTGAGAGAAGCATGGCCAATATGGTAAAACTCCATCTCTACTAAAAATACAAAAAGAAAAAACAAAAAAACAAAAACTAGCTGGTCATGGTGGTGTGCACTTGTAGTCCCAGCTACCCAGGAGGCTAAGGCAAGAGAGTTAGAAACAGATCACCCCGAGGCGTGATCTGTTTGAACCCAGGAGGCGGAGGTTGCAGCTCACTGCACTCCATCCTGGACAAAAGAGGGAGATTCCATCTCAAAAAGAAAAAAGGAAAGAAAGAAAAGAAAAGAAAAAGAGTGCACAGAAGGGCCAACAGCAAAGGGAACAAAAACACAAATTCCCATGTCCTGCAGGAAGAACACAGTTGTTCAGGATTCCTGCACAATTCCCCGACTGATTCCAACCACTTCTGTCTCTCTCCTCATGAACCCTGTAGATGCCCCTGGATCCAGGAACCAAGAAATCTCAGCTACGAGTCTTAGAGCTGTGAAGTGGATTTTCCAGGAAGATATTCACAAAGGCTGCCATGGTAACACTTCCTCATTTTTCTTTCTCCATTGGAACTTCCATTTTCACCATCAGAATAAAGAGAGACAGTGAAAGGGCATTTAGAATGACAGCGTCTGTCTGGAATGATCATGGAAATGGTTGTGCCTGGGTCATACGGTGAGTGGTCAAGAATTAATAGCTCTGAGTACCTGCCAGGAGATTTGCAGTAATTATTTCCTCTTACAGATTTAGAGCTCTAGAACCCTAAGAACTCTGGAACTCTTCACTTTATAGATATGGAAACTGAGGCTCTGAGAAAGAAAATGACAAGCCTGTAAGGTGCTAGTGAGAGGCAGGACCAGCAACAGAACGTGGCCATCTGATTTGGAGCCTAGGGCTTTGTCACTGCAACCTGCCTCCCTGCAGCCTCTGCTTCCTGCAGCAATAGCTAGATGGAACACGGAAAGCGCTCAAGTCTCGTGAACACACTATAAATGGTAGCATTTGACTAGCCTTCCCTGCACACACACATACCACACACACACACTTGCTCGATGTGAAACAAGTCACAAAATTCTTCAAAATACTTCTCAGTTCATGCGTCATCTGAATACACAGACGGGTGTGAAAATGACCTCCTGTTTGTGAACCACGAGAGAGATTTGCTCTGCTCTGGTTCTCAGCGCCTTCAGAGAACATCTGTGGGAAAGCCCCTCCTCACTTCCCTTCTCCCTTCCTTTCGGACCCAGAAGCTGAGAACTCATTTTTCTCAGTCAGTCGTTTTCACAGCCTAGTCTATGAAGAATGTCACTGTGTGATAAAATCCTCACCAAACCTCAGCAAAATGAGAAAAAAGGACGATGCGAGTTTTTCAAAAAGCCATGTTTCTGAAGTTTAAAGGACTGTCCTTTATTTGAAATTAAGTCCTTCCTCCTTTGTATGTGTGTTAAAATAACATATTTAAACATGAAATGATAGAAACAGATGATGGAAGTCACTTAATTACATGGCAAAACAAAAGTTAGCCATTGTATGTTTGTTAACGTTCTTAATATTTCTAATCCATGAGACTCACGTGTCTATGAGAACAGGGCCAGGCGCGGTGGCTCACGCCTGTAATCCCAGCATTTTGGGAGGCTGAGGCAGGTGGATCACCTGAGGTTGGGAGTTCAAGATCAGCTTGGCCAACATGGTAAAACCCTGTCTCTGCCAAAAATACAAAAATTAGCTGGGAATAGTGGCACACGTCTGTAATCCCAGCTACTTGGGAGTCTGAGGCAGGAGAATCACTTGAACCTGGGAGGCGGAGGTTGCAATGAGTCGAGATCATGCCACTGCACTCCAGCCTGGGCGACAGAATGAAACTCTGTCTCAAAAAAATACAAACAATGTCTATGGGAACCATGTCTTTAAGCCACTGCTCTTCAAAAATGTGCTTCTCACTCATATGTGAAGAGCCCGTTTTTTCTTTCCAATCGGTTGTGCAGTAACATTATTACAAAATATAATGAAAAGGATTAATTAAAAAAACAAACAAAATGCTGCCTGAATTTTGCAGTAATGTCAGATTGCTATAAAAGTTCCCCAATCTGCCCAATTTCTGCATTTACTTACTGCAGACTGTGGTTAGACAGTTAGGAAACCAGCCCCCGTGTGTAGGACACATCTGCAGTACATGAAGTTAGAACATCATGCTCTTTGTAACGCCAGGCTCTGCAGGGATGTGATGAGAAAAGGTGTTTCATGGCCCAATCCATTTGGGAAATGCTGAGAAAATAACGCAGAAATTTCAGAGCCAGTCATCTGGTGATATGGGGAGTAACATGCAATCTTTTTTGAACTTATTGACTATAGAACCACCACTCCTATTTTTGGTAGTTCTTCTCTTTCATGTCTTTCTCTTAACTCTCATGTTTCATAGATTGCAGTTTGGGAAACCACCATGCACTGAAACATAGCAGCTGCCTGTTTTCTGGGAGAGAATATTGAAGGCATGCCTCTTAGGCCAACTTGGCATTTAGAATACTGAGATGGGCCACACTGCAATCCGTGGATGTGTCTGTGTGCCCATATCTCTTTCTGCAACTTTACTTCATCAGGAAGCAAAACTAACCCAATGTTTTCCTCTCTCTTATGCCAATTGATGTCACTTCTAACCTTGCCTCCTTTCTCTGACCTGCATTCCTGGTTCCAATGAAAGCTCCCGTGCTGGCCAGGCATGGTGGCTCATGCCTGTAATCCCAGCACTTGTAGAGGCTGAGGTGGGCAGATTGCCTGAGGTTGGGAGTTCGAGACCAGCCTGACCAACACGGAGAAACCCCATCTCTACTAAAAATACAAAATTAGCCAGGCATGTGGCGCATGCCTGTAATCCCAGCTACTCGGGAGGCTGAGGCAGGAGAATCACTTGAACCCGGGAGGCAGAGGTTGCAGTGAGCCGAGATTGTGCCATTGCACTCCAGCCTGGGCAACAAAAGTGAGACTCCATCTCAAAAAACAAAAACAAAAACAAAAAAAACCTCCTGTGCCTTGCTACCTTTCTCCTTTCTCCAATTCAGCTCACCCAGCCCCTTCCTACAATTGATGTTCCTTGCCCTTTCCTGCTGTGCACATGAATTCACCATTTGCCTGTCAGTAGAAGTCATCTTCATCCTTTAAACCCTTCCTTTACACTGCCGCCAAAGTCAGTGATCTTCTAAAGCCACGCCTCTAACCACACCATGCAAGGCTTAAAACTCTACCCTACCATCCAGGTACAGGGTCCTTTCAACACCCAAGAACATAGTGTCCCTCTTCTGCCCTGTGCCTGCCAACCCTGAACCATCCTCCCACCACCATTGTGTGGTCACACCCTGTGAACCCTTTGGGTCTCAGCTTCGCCCCAGGAGTAGGATAGCAGCTAAAGGAGCAATAAGATAAAACAAGGAGAAGAAGAGGGCAGGGCATTTTGAGATCAGGCTTCCCAGCACGGTTTCTGGGGCAGACCAGGTTTCTGTGAAGGTGAAGCATTGTGGGAGGGAGGGAGAAGTGTGTGGCTTCTAGTTCCAGCTTGGAGTTGGACAGAGGAGGTAGTCAGTGAGAAGGGGGGATATGGGAGGAGAGGAGTCCTTGGGAAGGATGTACTGACTAGAGTCATTAAGAAAAAGGAGATACTTCACATCCTAAACTTGCAACCACACACAGCACGATAGTGCCGTCTTCTGTATAAGACTGTGTACTTATCCAAATTCTCACTTATTGGCTACTCAAAGATGCTTCGGAAACTAAAGTACAGTTTGAGACAATTTTTGAAAAACGACTTACTACCTCAGCCAGGTACGATGGCTCACGCCTGTAATCCCAGCACTTTGGGAGGCTGAGGTGGGTGGATCATGAGGTCAGGAGTTCAAGACCAGCACAGCCAAGATGGTAAAACCCCATCTCTACTAAAAATACAAAAAAACTAGCCGGGCACAGTAGTGTGTGCCTGTAACCCCAGCTACTCTGGCGGCTGAGGCAGGAGAACTGCTTGAACCTAGGAGGCAGAGGTTGTGGTGAGCAGAGATCACACCACTGCACTCCAGCCTAGGTGACAGAGCAAGACTCCGTCTCAAAAAAAAGAACGTACTACCTCATGTAGGCCTTTATTTCTGCCTCTTGACTTAACTTCCACAGTACTCCATGGGTTTCTGGTGAGTATAACATGTTTTATTCTGTACCTTAGTATTTAGGGAAATTCTATCTTCCTTACATATGCCTCTCCAGATGTGATCAGATGCCCGATTCATCTTGCAAATCAAGATGACACCAGGAAGTGTCACCTGGTAGCAGGAATAGCCATTGTCTTATTTATTGAATGAATTAGTGCTACATATTCCTACAACTTTTCAGCTTGAAACTTGCATTCACCCACAAAATTCTATTTCAGACTCATCCTTGCTGCTTTTGCAAATAAATGCAGTTGATAGAATCATTTGCAAATGAAGCAGCGTATCTTACACAATAAACACTCATCTCAGAGTTGAGGGAATCCAGGATGCTTTCTCTCTCCAGGATGCAAGATGTCTTTGTTTTGGTGATTGTTTTACTTTGTTTCCCTTGATGTCTTCTTGTTTACTTATAGGCCACTATTGGCGAGATATGTGCGTCTATGGCCCTGGGGATTTAAAGTGGCTGTATGAATCTTCTAGCATGTTCGCTAACAAGCTGGAGTTGGAGACCTACCCACTTACTGTGGAATGTCTAGAACTGAGGATACGAGAGAAAACTCTGAACCAGAGCGAAGTCCCTGTGGAACCAGACTGGTATTTGCTCCAAGAGTAAGAGCTACTTCAAAGAAAATATAAAACAACAACAATTAAAAAAACTAATAAGTCTTATTTTGGAATATGTGCCCTACTTTCCTCATGGATCTTGCCTAGGACACGTGGCAGACCTGGGGACCACCTCTGAGCCTGCAGGAAGAGCATCCCAGGTCACTGTGAACATGGAAGGCGTCAAAGTTCAGCTGACTGCAGTTGGCACCTTAGCCATGAGCGGCTGATTCTTAACTCCTAATGTAACTCCTACTCTAACCCATTCTAATCACAGTCTTTTTTTTTTTTTTAAATCATTTGATTGTTTATCCATTGATGTATTCCTCATTTCTTTTTAAAAACATCTGAAGAGGCTTATAACAAAGATTATATAGAACATCAGTTTGATAATGTAAACCTAGAAAATTACAAATGGGATCTGTAGAAAGAGGTGGTAGCAAATCTGCTAACCTGGCAGGCTAGTGCGGCTGCTCCAACTGAGTGTCCATTTTGATTCTGGGCTTCCTACTGCTGCTGCTAATTCTATCATGGGAACACTTCTCCTATCATACCAGGTGACATTTGACTTAAGCAATATACTGAAGAATCATAATTTCACATCTCAAAGAAGCCAACTTGGCACACCAGGATCAGCTGCTCCTAAGGATGTTTGTTTTCAATATCTTGTGAGTTGTTCATTTTGTTCTTGACTATCAGCATTTATGAGCAGATAAATAACATCTTGTGGTCAATCATTACTGACGTGGGTTTTAATTCTGAGAACATTCATTTTGTTCTAATTACAGCACTCGCAAAGCAGATCTGTAGCCTTTGGCAAGTTTCTTGATACTTCTGTGTCTCAAATTATTCATCTGGAAAAATGTTTCCTCACAGGGTTTTCTCTGTAACTCGGAAAAAGCGCTAAACCCGCAGGAAGCACTGGGCCGACCTCCAGTATCCCCTAATCACAGTCTTAACTATTATGTTATGCGTTTTGTAAAATGCCCTAATTAAGGAGCGTCCCTTCAGAAATTAGTTGTTTTCCCTGTCTTCCTTATTGAGAGAAGGATCCAGCTTTTTTGTTTGTTTGTTTGTTTGTTTTTGAGACAGGGGCTCACTTTGTCACCCAGGCTAGAGTGCAGTGGCATGACCTCAGCTCACTGCAGCCTCGACCTCCTGGGCTGAAGCCATCCTCCCACCTCAGTCCCCCAAGTAGCTGGGACTACAGGTGCATGCCATCATCATGCCCTGCTAATTTTTTTGTACTTTTTTGTAGAGATGAGGTCTCGCCATGTTGCCTAGCTAGGCTGTCAGCTGTTTGATATGTAAGTAAAGACAGAAAGTCACCTTAAAGCAGAGTAGCTCCTTGCTGTGCCAAGAACCACTAAATGATTGAATACTTATGTTAAGTATAGAGCCACGAGCCTTAGTATTCTGGGGAAAAGGTTTAACCAAGCTCTTTGAATTTTGAGAGCTTTGTGAAAATTGGCCTCCAAGAAGAAGCCAGTGGAACACTTCCTGGGGCTCGAGCCTGTTTGTAAAAGGTGATCTGCTAACCCTCAGCCATTACTTTGCCTTAAAAACCTAACTTGCTTTAAAAATCTAACGTATTGTCTACGGCCATACCACCCTGAACGCGCCCGATCTCGTCTAAAAATCTAACGTATTTATAGCAGCATTATTCACAATAGCCAAAAGGTGGAAGCAACCCAAATGGACAGGCAATGGTTTAACAGAATGTGGTGCACATACATTTGATAGAATATGATTCATCCTGAAAAAGAATTCTGACACATGCCACAACATGGATGAACCTTGAAAACATTGTTATGGGCAATAAGCCAGACATTAAAGATCACATATTATATCGTTCCACTTATATGAAATGTCCAGAATAAACAAATCTATAGAGACAGAATGGTGGCTGCCAGGGGATGGGAGGAGAAGGGGAATGGGGAGTTATTATGCAATGGGTACAAAGTTTCAGTTTGGAAAGATAAAAAGTTCTGGAGATGGATGGTGGTGATGGTAGCCAACAACATGAATATACTTAATGCCACTGACCTGTCCATTAAATCAATAAAGACGCTCATCAATAGAAAAGGGACTGATTTTTAAACTTACATGATAAACCTTACCGGTGTTTACTGTGCTCTTCCTAGTCACCTCTCCATAACTTGCCTCCCTCAATTTCCTTTGAGATGAAGGTCACAGGTGTTAAAGCCTGAGTTCTAAGCCACCTCTATGAGAGTCATTCATTTTTCCCTGGGTATTCTTCTAGGTCTGGGTATGTATACATGTTAATAAATGTCAGCCTCTCTCTTGTTAATCTGTCTTCCATTATGGTGGGGGAGGGCACCTAAAAACTATGAAGGGTATAGGAAAAAATGTTTTTTTCTAACCTACAGGACTGTCAAAGGACTTCAGTGCTAGCAGTGATCCCAAATGAGAAGCCCAGTCTTTACTGCTGATCCTATTTAAAATATTTTCAAAAAGATGACATGATGATTTGGCAGTGAAATGAAAAGGGTACAAAAAACAAATCAGCAGGGCCAAAATTTGAATTTAGTGGAGCCAATATTTGTTTTTAGAGAAATGACCACAAATCCATGTTTTCTTGCATATTCATTGTAAAGAAATGAATTTATTTCATTTATTGTTATAATGATTTATTGTTATATATTTATAATAAATGAAATAAATTCATTTCAGTTTATTTCATTTATAACAATCTTGTGTATAAATAAAATAAGTATGATTTTAATTTTTTTTTTTTTTTTTTTTTTAGATGGAGTTTCGCTCTTGTTACCCAGGCTGGAGTGCAATGGCGCGATCTCGGCTCTCCGCAACCTCTGCCTCCTGGGTTCAAGCAATTCTCCTGCCTCAGCCTCCTGAGTAGCTGGGATTACAGACACGCACCACCATGCCCAGCTAATTTTTTGTATTTTTAGTAGAGATGGGGTTTCACCATGTTGACCAGGATGGTCTCGATCTCTTGACCTCGTGATCCACCCGCCTCGGCCTCCCAAAGTGCTGGGATTACAGGCTTGAGCCACCGCGCCCGGCTGATTTTAAATTTTTATTATTTTTGAGTCAGTGTCTTAGTCTGTCACCAGGCAGGAGTGCAGTGATGCGATCTTGGCTCACTGCAACCTCCACCTCCTGGGTTCAAGTGATTCTCCTGCCTCCCGTCCCAAGTAGCTGAGACTATAGGCACTGCCATCACACCCAGCTAATTTTTTGTATTTTTAGCAAAGACAGGGTTTTGCCATGTTGCCTAGGCTGGTTTTGAACTCCTGAGCTCATGCAGTCTGCCCACCTTGGCCACCCAAAGTGCTGGGATTACAGGTGTGAGCCATTGTACCTGGCCAGTGTGATTTTTTAAAAAAATGTGTCTAAATGAAGCAAGAGCAGGGGTTGGCCAGATAAATATTTCTGCCTCTGAAGGCCATCCTATCTTTGTCCCAGCTATTCGCCTCTCCCATTGTAGTGCAAAAGCAGCCAAAAGGGAAACCAGTGAACTTGGCTACCTCTCAATTAAACTTTATTTACAAGAACAGGTGGTTGGATTTGGACCATGAGCTATAGTTTGCAAATCCCTGGTCTAAAAGAACCCCTTTAAAATTTTTAAAATAAAAATTATAAGTGGTTAAAAAAAGTATTGTTGGCCGGGCGCGGTGGCTCAAGCCTGTAATCCCAGCACTTTGGGAGGCCGAGGCGGGTGGATCACGAGGTCAAGAGATCGAGACCATCCTGGTCAACATGGTGAAACCCCATCTCTACTAGTGGTGCAAAAAATTAGCTGGGCATGGTGGCGCGTGCCTGTAATCCCAGCTACTCCGGAGGCTGAGACAGGAGAATTGCCTGAACCCAGGAGGCGGAGGTTGTGGTGAGCCGAGATCGCGCCATTGCACTCCAGCCTGGGTAACAAGGGCGAAACTCCGTCTCAAAAAAAAAAAAAAAAAAAAAAAAAAAAGTATTGTTATAGTTTAATTGGCAAGGTTTTATATTTCTTAGTGGTACAATAAATTATGGAACTTATATTTCGTAGAATTTTAGATTGAATGACATACAGTGTGTATGTCCGTAAGGCACATAGCATCACACAATAAGGCTTGATGAGAATGAATAGAAGTTAGCAGTTAGATAATGCTTCTAAAGTTTTGGGCAGCACTGTTAAACTCAGTTTGGTGGGGCAGCATATAACATGGCATGCAGAACTTGATGAAGCTTGAGTAAGAAGGTCTGGGTTTAAGGTGTGATGAGGGAGCTCAGGATAAAATGAAAGCATCAGCATACATTCATATGTTTAAAAGGCTCCTGGCGGTGTGGGCTCACAAGGGGATCTCCTGGTCTGCAAGTTGCAAAGATCCATGGGGGAAGTGTGGTTTCCGGAGTGGGGTTGTACCACACTCACCACTTCCCTTGGCTGGGAACAGGGGTTCCTTTGGCTCCAGGCTGTTCCCAGTTGGGTCATCACCCCACCTTTCTTTTCTTTGTTCTCGGTGGGTCAAGTTGTTTGCCTAATCAGTCCCAATGCAAGAACCTGGATATTTCAGTTGAAGGTGCTAAATTCACTGGCCACTTTCATTCCTCTCCATGAGTACTGCAGCTGCTTCTAATCAGCTATCTTGGCCCCGCTGCCTTTGAAGTGACTTTCTAAAGGCAAAACTGACCATGCCAATCCTATCCTGAAAATTCTTTCATTGTCTCCTAATTTTAATAAAATCCAAATTCTTTACAGTGACCTAAAATCCCTGCCTAAACTTACTTACGACTACCACACTAGCCATGTATTTGCAACAGGGAACAGTATCAACCTCCAAGAAGGTGAAAATTGGTTCTGGAGGAATAGAGAGGGGATAAGTCTTACTCTTTCCAGTGTGTAAGGAACAGGCATAGATAGAACACATATAATAATATATATGGAATTAAAATCTTATAGAGGGGGAACAATTAGAAAAAGAGTGTGAAGAAAAACTGAGAATCCACCTAACCTAATCTCAGGGCTACCATGTTGCTAGGGGCTACCATAGTGCTTAGCACTGGTCTTACCTGTAAGTATAAGATACTTATACCGTATATAAGTATATATATACCAATACCTATACCGTATTGCATAGCACTGGTCTTATAGGCAAGACCAGTGCTACGCAATACGGTAGCCCCTAGCAACATGTGGCTATTGAACGCTTGCAACGTACTTAGTGCAAAAGGAAAAGCAAAATTTTAATTTTGCTTAAATAGAATTTCAATAGCCATATGTGGCGAATGGCTATTATATCAGACAGCACAGCTCTAGACACATGATATCTGTGTCTATCCATGCTAGCATCAGGATACTTTGCTAGCAATAACAAAAATTCAGAGTGGATTACACCTAAGTCCAGATAAGAGAGAATCCAGGGCGGGCTAATTGGACAGCTTCGAAGCCATTATCACGGACCCAGCTTCTTGCCATCTTCCTTCGCTGCCATCCCGGGTGCATCAGCACTACCCTAAGATTGCTTTCCTGATAGTCCCATTATGTCTGCCACGGTATCAGGCAACACATCTAAAACTAACGCTTAGTATGAGACTGCAGCTGTCTCTTTTTTATTCCTCCTTTTAAAAATGAGATAAAACATCACCTCACATCTCGTTAGGCAGAATTTTATCATATGTCTCTACTGATCACTGGCAAGAAGAATGGGATCACTACACATGACTCAGATGCTATGAGAGCCATTCCCTGGAGCTGAATATAGTGCTGGTCCCCAAAACATATGGCTAGAGGAGGAAGGCTGATAGAGCCAGGCTTTGTAGGAAAGTAGGGACTTGCACACCTCGTATTAAGGAGGGAAGAGTGAAAGCAGAACTTCACCCTCTGTTCTAGGTAGAACTAAGCTGAACTAGTTGAGAATATCCCTGTGCCAGTGGTTTTCAGAGTGTTGTTATCCAGAAACTTTTTAGAGAATTGAAAATCGTCAGGTCCCACCCAAAACTTATTGAATCAAACTCAGGATGGTGCCCAAGAATCTGTGTTTCGACAAGCCTTCTACGAGATTCTGATACACCCTAGTTTGAAAACGTTGCCCTATTCTAGTGGTTTTCAATTGGGTGTGTTGTGTCGGAGGGGTGGGGGAGGGAAGGGAGGGGAGCACAATTTTGCCCCTAGGGAACATTTGGCAATGTCTAGAGACATTTTGGTTGTCACAACTGGAGTGCAAGGTGCCTCTGGCATCTAGCAGTAGAGGTCAGGACAAAGTGCAAGACAGTCTCCCACAGCAAAGAAGCATCCAGCCCCAAATGGCAACAGTGCCAAGGTTGAGAAACCATGGGGCAGAAGCTGCGTCTTTACAGTGGCTGCAGCCCACCTGGCTCTCCATGCAGGTTGCAGGTCTTTGAACTTGGTTAGCGCAAGGATTAGCATCTGTCAAGCACGTTCAGAGCAGAAGAGATGTCAGATTGCCTTTGCCTACAGTCTGATCAACTTCCTTCTAAGCAATCAGTCTTCTAGCAGTCAACTCAGTCAGATCAGTCCCAAGGGTCACTTAAGTATCAGGACACAATGATCATCTTCAGGACAAAAAAAAAAAAAAGACATTTTATAAGGAACACAGTCAATATACACATTGGCTGGCTTTTACGAGGGCCTAATTCCTCTATCTTAGAAAGTTGACAGGTTGTTTGGATCAAGCAAACCTTTTCCATGCTTTTTTGTTGATTTTGTTGTTGTTGTTGTTGTTGTTTTTGATACAGAATTTCACTTTGTTGCCCAGGCTGGAGTGCAACGGTGCGATCTCAGCTCACCTCAACCTCTGCCTCCTGGATTCAAGCGATTCTTCTGCCCCAGCCTCCTGGGTAGTTGGGATTATAGGCATGTGCCACCACGCTCAGCTAATTTTTGTATTTTTAGTAGAGACAGGGTTTCTCTATGTTGGTCAGACTGGTCTCGAACTCCCAACCTCGGTTGATACACCTGCCTCAGCCTTTCAAAGTGCTGGGATTACAGGCGTGAGCCACCACGCCCAGCCTGATGCTTAGGAACCTTTCTGTTCAGTTGAGTCTCTACCACCATATCTAGCTCTCTCTCATGGGGCCAGGAAATGCAGATCAAGCATCCAGTTCTAACTAACATTCTCTAGACAAGACACAAGCAAGAAACCTTACATTGCCTATGGATATAATTTCTAAGAGAGTTTGAAGCTAGAGAAAGCAGCAAATCATATCAGAGTAGGTAATGCCACAATCAGTTCGGCTCAAACCCACCTCATATTAAACTATTTTCCAAGGGTTTTGTAGAACAGCTTGTTCTACCATGATCACCACATCAGCTCTTCTGGCACTTACCTAATATAACACACTTCCAGGCACAGATGTGCTGGTGAAGTTTATTTACATTAATGTTCTCGTATGTCAATCACATGTAAGCCCTGGACACTAGCTTTTATATACAGAATCCAGTACCTTCCTGGGAGAACTACTTTTTTCCCCTAAACAAAAGAAGACACAATTAGTATAATAACTGGGGATCTTAATGAACATCTTGCTTCACTTTGGGGTCTCATCTGGAATTTCTGAGTACACTGTATCCAGCGGCTGCCAGTGGCAATTCATGAGGGAGTCATAGAGTTCTTCACTTTTCACCATAAACTCTTGGTTTGATTCCTCAATATTCACATGAAGATGTGGATCTGCAGAAGTCAATAATGCATATGAAAGAAATAGAGTCTTACAGGAAACAGAAATAGTTTAAAATTAGAAAGTTTTTAGAAAGCATTTGCAGGAAGTACCGCAGATAGTAAAGGTTAAAATTCTTAAATTGCATATTTCCTTTCAATAAGACTTGAAAATAGAAATTTAAGCTATAAAAGTAGTAGTATTGGCCAGGCATAGTGGCTCACATCTAATCCCAGCACTTTGGGAGGCAGAGGTGGGTGGATCACCTCAAGTCAGGAGTTCAAGACCAGCCTGGCCAACATGGTCTCTACTAAAAATACAAAAATTAGCTGGGCATGGTGGCAGGTGGCTGTAATCCCAGCTACTCAGGAGGCTGAGGCAGGAGAACAGGTTGAACCAGGGAGTCAGATGTTGCAGTGAGCTGAGATTGCACCACTGCACTCCAGCCTGGAGACAAAGTGAGACTCTGTCTCCAAAAAAAAAAAAAAAAAAAAAGTAGTAGTATCAACAGAGTCAACGAGCATCTGAACTTGACAGAAGAGATGGTGAAAAAAAATGGACATATTTGAGATGCTTGGGGGATGGATTCAACTTAGGAGGAAAGAAGAAAAGGAAGGTCAAGAACGACGGCCATGTTCCTGGCAGGAGCCAGGTAGATACAATGCTCAACAGTGAGCCAAGCCAAGGGCCCCTAGGACAGGGGTTTATAAAAATAAACATGCTACTTTAACTTCTCAGTTAACAGATTCATGTTAGTGACTAAATTTTACATAGCAACTAATTCAGAAACACGGGATAACTTGGGCTTCTCTCTCTGAAACCTGGAACCCTATGACGAGGTGGTTATTATGTTATTGCAAACGTATTAGACCTGGATTTTCAGCCCAAGTTGCCAGGCTTCCAGAGCTTTCCAAGGCTTTCACGGTCATTAATTCTTTTAATGTAACCTGTTTTTTTCCTCTCCTTGTACTGAATGGAATGGAAGAAGCCTTTTGTGTTTTCCTTTGTAATTTTTCCAAGCCTCAGTTCCTTGAGGATCATAATTTGCTTCCTAACACTCATATGGGTTCACACTATTTATCTGTATGCCTATTAGGGACTAAATCTTGGCCCTACAAAATTCTTCTGTTAAAAGCCTAACCCCCACAACGTGAAGGCATTTGGAGATGGGGACTCTGGGAGGTTAGATGAGATTATAAGGGTTGGGTGCTGGTATGATAGAAGTAGTGCCCCCATAAAAAGAGACAGCAGGCTGAGCACAGCAGCTCACACCTGTAACCCCAACACTTTGGGAAGCTAAGCCCAGTGGCTCACTTAAGTCTTGGAGAGATCAGCCTGGGCAACACACTGAGACCCCATCATTACAAAATATAAAAATAAATTTTAAAAGAAGATAAAGCAGATAAATTGCTCACATTCTCTCCTACAATGCATAAAGAGGTCAAATGTGGAAACAGGAAGAAGGCTGCTGTCTGCAAGCCAAGAAGAGAGCCCTCACCAGAAATCAAATTAGCCTGGATATTGGATTTCCAGCCTCCAGAACTGCAAGAAAATAAATTTCTGTTTAAATCACCCGTTCTGTGGTATTTTGCTACAGTAGCCCTAGAAGACTAATGCAGTACCCTTCTATATTTATCATTTTAGAACCAAAATGGTCAAATCAGCCTTAGGCATCATATAAATTTCATGAGCTACTTCTCATTTTTCTTCACTGGAATCACTGGTGACTGTGTTGTCTGAGTCTTACACTTTAGAGCTTCCCATCCTTTCTGAACCATCTTTCCTTTGAGCATTTCTGATCATAAAAGTAGATGTTTCCCTTTTTTCTCCCAAAACATTCTGAAATTTTCTTACACTTCTGCCCCTGGTTCCTTTCCTTCACTGTTGTTACGGGAGGTTGTTTGCTAAAGGGTCCCTGACCTCATGCCCCTAGTGGGGAGAGAGGTGTCAGGATCATGTGCTTATGAGCATGCTCTCTACTTAACCTGCAGCCAAGAAAACAGATATGGTGTGGTCAGCTCCAAACCCTGAATGATATGATCTCCACCCTTCCAGTGATGTTGACCAAAACTATAATAGAAGCCTATACAGGACAAAGTAATTATGTCTTCCCTAAACCTGTGCATCTCTTAGACCAACGCTGTCCAACACAGTAGCCACTAGCCACATGCGGCTATTGAGTGTTTGAGCATTGCTAGCCTTCACTGAGATGTGATGTAAGGATAAAACGCACACCACATTGAAAGCAGAATGGTGGTTGCCAGGGGGAAGGGAGAGTGAGGAGTTACTGTTATTTAATGGGTATGGAGCTTCAGGTTATAAAATAAAGAGTTCTGACCAGGCGCGGTGGCTCAAGCCTGTAATCCCAGCACTTTGGGAGGCCTAGGCGGGTGGATCACGAGGTCAAGAGATCGAGACCATCCTGGTCAACATGGTGAAACCCCGTCTCTACTAAAATACAAAAAATTAGCTGGGCATGGTGGCGTGTGCCTGTAATCCCAGCTACTCAGGAGGCTGAGGCAGGAGAATTGCCTGAACCCGGGAGGCGGAGGTTGCGGTGAGCCAAGATCGCGCCATTGCACTCCAGCCTGGGTAACAAGAGCGAAACTCTGTCTCAAAAAAAAAAAAAAAAAAAAAAATGAAGAGTTCTGGAGATGAATAATAATGGGTACACAACATTATGAATGTACTTAATACCACTGATACATTTAAAAGTCTATTGCTTCTCGGCCTTTTGGCTAAGACCAAGTGTGATACATTGACAAGTCAAGATGGTAAATTTTATATTATGCATATTTCACCACAATTAAAAAAATTTTTAAATCCGCTTTAAGGTAAGGTCTGAATAGCCCTCAGAGTAAGGGTCCCCCACAATCTGCAGGTGAGGGGGCAGCCAGAAAAGAAAAAAATAGAAAAAATATATGCTGTATTTCAAAGACTTGATGTAAAAAAGTCATTAATTTTTATATTGATTGCGTGTTGGAATAATACCTTGGATATTTTCTTAGATTGGGCTGCTAACAACAAATCAGAGACTGAGTAGTTTGTAAACAACACAGTTATTTCTCACAGTTCTAGAAACCAGAAGTCCAAGATCAAGATGTCAGCATGGTTGGGTTCTGGTGAGGACCCTCTTCTGGGCTGCACACTGCCCAGAAGTCATATCTTCACATGGCAGAGGGCAGAGAGAGGACTCAAGCTCTCTCGTGACTCTTGTAAGGTTACCAGTTCCATTCATGAGGACTCTACCCTGATGACCTCACCTAATCCTAATCACCTCTCTAAAGACCCACCTCCTAAAACTATCGCATTGGGAGTGAAGGTTTCAACGTATGAATTTGGCAAGGAAAAGAAGACAAATTCAGTCCATCACAGATAAATTAGGTTAAGTAAGAAACATTATTAATTTCACCGGTCTCCTGAGTTGGTTCTTTAATTTGGCTATGAAAAAATTTTAAAATACCTACATAAATGACTTTGTGTTTCACATGATCTATTCTTTTCTTTCTTTTTTTTTTTTTTTTTTTTTTTTTTTGAGACAGAGTTTCGCTCTTGTTACCCAGGCTGGAGTGCAATGGCGCGATCTCGGCTCACCGCAATCTCCGCCTCCCGGGTTCAGGCAATTCTCCTGCCTCAGCCTCCTGAGTAGCTGGGATTATAGGCACGCACCACCATGCCCAGCTAATTTTTTGTATTTTTAGTAGAGACGGGGTTTCACCATGTTGACCAGGATGGTCTCGATCTCTCGACCTCGTGATCCACCCGCCTCGGCCTCCCAACGTGCTGGGATTACAGGCTTGAGCCACCGCGCCCGGCCGATCTATTCTTTAATTTCTAAATGTTTCAAACTGGCAGACAAAACTGTATGTGTTTATCATGTACAACATTTCTTTTTTTTTTTTTTTGAAACATAACATTTCAAGTATACGTTCATCGTTGAATCATCAAATGTACTACCTCACAGTTATTTTTCATTTTTGTGGTGGAAACACTGAATATCCTCTATGTATTTTTCTTTATTTTTCCTTTTTTCTTCTCTTTAAGACTAGTCAAATGCAGCAGTAAGAAGCAGGGAAAGAGTAGAACAAGAAGTTCAATCCACAACTGACTCAACAACCAGTTGCGATGACTCACTACCTTCGAACTAGCCTGTATTTTTCAATATAATATTTCTTTTTTTTTGTTTTTTTGTTTTGTTTTGTTTTTTGTTTGAGACGGAGTTTCACTCTTGTTACCCAGGCTGGAGTGCAATGGCGCGATCTCGGCTCACCGCAACCTCCGCCTCCTGGGCTCAGGCAATTCTCCTGCCTCAGCCTCCTGAGTAGCTGGGATTACAGGCATGCGCCACCATGCCCAGCTGATTTTTTGTATTTTTAGTAGAGATGGGGTTTCACCATGTTGACCAGGATGGTCTCGATCTCTTGACCTCGTGATCCACCCACCTCGGCCTCCCAAAGTGCTGGGATTACAGGCTTGAGCCACCGCGCCCGGCCCTCAATATAATATTTCTTAATTATAGTCACCATGCTGTACAATATATCTTTCTCTTTTTTTTGACGGGGTGGGAGGGTAGGGGAGGATTGGAGTCTCACCCTGTTGCCCAGGCTGGAGCGCAGTGGCACAATCTCAGCTCACTGCAACCTCCACCTCCTGGGTTCAAACGATTCTCCCACCTCAGCCTCCTGAGTAGCTGGGACTACAAGCATGCACGCCATCATGCCTGGCTAATTTTTGTATTTTTTAGTAGAGACAGGGTTTTACCATGTTGGCTGGTCTTGAACTCCTGACCTCAAGTGATCCACCTACCTTGGCCTCCCAAAGTGCCGAGATTACAGACATGAGCCACCATGTACCTGGTCATTTTTTGCTATTTGCATGAATAATGCCAGTGGTATTTTGATAGAGAGTGCATTGAATCTGGCTGGGCAAAGGGGCTCAAGCCTATAATCCCAGCACTTTGGCAGGCCAAAGCAGGTGGATCACCTGAGGTCAGGAGTTCGAGACCAGCCTGGTCAACATGGAGAAGCCCTAGCTCTACTAAAAATACAAAAATTAGCCAGGCGTGGTGGTGGGCACCTATAATTCCACCTATTTGGGAGGCCGAGGCAGGAGAATTACTCCAACCTGTGAAGTGGAGGTTGCAGTGAGCTGAGATAAAAACCACTGTACTCCAGCCTTGGCAACAAAGTGAGACTGCCTCAGAATAAAGAGAGGTGGGGGGGTAGAGGGAGGGAGAGACTGACAGTGAGACAGAGAGAGACTGCATTAACTCTGTAGACCACTTTGAGTATTATGAACATTTTAATGGTATTTCTTCTTTTTTTTTTTTTGAGACGGAGTTTCGCTCTTGTTACCCAGGCTGGAGTGCAATGGCGCGATCTCGGCTCACCGCAACCTCTGTCTCCTGGGTTCAGGCAATTCTCCTGCCTTAGCCTCCCGAGTAGCTGGGATTACAGGCACGCGCCACCATGCCCAACTAAGTTTTGTATTGTTAGTAGAGACGGGGTTTCACCGTGTTGACCAGGATGGTCTCAATCTCTTGACCTCGTGATCCACCCGTCTCGGCCTCCCAAAGTGCTGGGATTATAGGCGTGAGCCACCGCGCCTGGCCGGTATTTATTCTTTTAATCCATGAGTATGAGAAATATCTTTCGTGTCTTCAGTTTCTTCCATCAACACTTTACAGTGTTCAGTATAGACATCTTTCACCTTGGTTCAATTTACTTTCAAGTTTTTGTTATGGCTATTGTAAATGGGATTGTTTTCTTATCTTTTTCAAATAGCTAGTAGTGTATAGAAACATGAATTTTGTGTAGTAAAGTTAGAGGATACAAAATTAGTAAGTTTGCTTAGTAGACCTAACAGGTTTTTTGGCAGAGTCTGTAGGGTTTTCTCTACATTCATACCTTAGAGATAATGCAGGTTTAGTTCCTGACCACTGCAATAAAATGAATTCACACGAATTTTCTGGTATCCCAGTGCATATAAAAGTTGTTTACAGTGGCCGGGCGCCGTGGCTTACACCTTTAATCCCAGCACTTTGGGAGGCCAAGGTGGGTGGATCACGAGGTCAAGAGATCGAGACCATCCTGGCCAACATGGTGAAACCCCGTCTCTATTAAAAATACGAAAAAATTAGCTGGGCGTGGTGGCGCGTGCCTGTAGTCCCAGCTACTCGGGAAGCTGAGGCAGGAGAATTGCCTGAACCCGGGAGGCGGAGGTTGCAGTGAGTAGAGGTCATGCCACTGCACTTCAGACTGCCTCCTGGTGTCGGAGTGAGACTCTGTCTCAAAAAAAAAAAAAAAAAAAAAAATTTTGAATAAAAAATTTTTAAAAAGTTGTTTACTTTGGCTAGGCATGGTGGCTCATGCCTGTAATCCCAGCACTTTGGGAGGTTGAGGCTGGAGAATCACTTGAGCTCAGGAGTTCAACAGCAGCCTAGGCAACATAGTAAGACCTTGTTTCTATTTTTAAAAAAATTGTTTTAAAAGAACAAATTTGTTTACAATATACATACCTTAAGAAATAGTTTATTGTGGCCGAGTACAGTGGCTCGCGCCTGTAATCCCAGCACTTTGGGAGGCCAAAATTTGTAGATCACCTGAGGTCAGGAGTTCAAGACCAGCCTAGTCAACATGGCGAAACCCTGCCTCTACTAAAAATATAAAAATTACCCAGACACGTGCCTCTAATCCCAGCTATTCAGGAGGCTGAGGCAGGAGAATAGTCTGAACCTGGGAAACAAAGGTTGCAGTGAGCCAACATCACACCACCGCACTCCAGCCTGGGTAACAAAGCAAGACTGTCTCCCAAAAAAGAAAAAAAAGGAAAAACAGTGTTAACAAAATGAGCACATACTGTTGGGAAAATGGCACAGATACATTTGCTCAATGCAGGGCTGCTACAAACTTCTAACTTATTTAAAAAAAAAAAAAAAGAAACACTATCTGTGGAGCATAATAAAATGAAGTGCAATAAAATGAGTTATGCTTCTATGTCACATGATGCCATCTTCAATCAGGGACAGTTTTACTTATTCCTTTCCCATCTGGGAACCTTCTATTTCTCCCTGTCACCCAATTGCTCTGGCTAGACTTCCAGTATTAGGCTGAATAGAAGTGGTGAAAGCGGGCATCCTTATCCTGTTTTCAGATCTTAGAGGAAAAACTTTCCGTTTTCCCAGTTCAGTGAAATGTTAGCTGTGAGTTTGTTATATGGTCTCTATTGTGTTGAGGTACACACCTAATTTGTTGAAAGTTTTTATCATGAAGAGGTACTGAATTTTGTCAAATGCTTTTTCTGCACCTTCTGAAATGATCACTGGGTGCAGTCGCTCACGCCTGTAATCCCACAACTCTGGGAGGCCGACACAAGCAGATCGCCTGAGCTCAGGAGTTTAAGATCAGCTTGGGCAACATGACGAAACTCCATCTCTACCAAAAACACAAAAAGTTAGCTGGACATGGTGGCACGTGCCTGTGGTCCCAGCTATTTGGGAGGCTGAGATGGGAGGATGCTTGAGCCTTGAAGGCAGAGGTGGCAGTGACCCCAGATCACACCACTGCACTCCAACCTGGGTGTCGGAGTAAGACCCTGTCTCCAAAAAAAATAAAAGAAATTATGTTATTTGTCCTTCATTTTGTTGATGGGATAATGGGATGTATTTTTATTAATATGTGTATATTAAACCATCCTTGCATCCCTGGGATGAACACCACTTGATCATGACGGATGATCTTGTTATTGTGCTGTTGAATTCAGTTTGCTAGTATTTTGTTGGGGACCTTTGCATCTATCTATGTTCATCAGGAATATTGGCTATAGTTTTTTCTTGTTGTTGAATCCTTTCTGGTTGTGTTATCAGAGTAATGCTGGCTTCATAGAATGAGTTTCAAAGTATTTCCTCTTCCATATTTTGGAGTAGTTTAAGAAGTGGCATTAGATTTTCTTTAAATGTGTAGGGACTGGGCATGGTGACTCACGCTTGTCACTCCAGGCCTTGGGGAGGCAGAGCTGGGAGGACTGCTTGAGTCCCAGAGTTTGAGACCAACCTGAGCAACAAAGCGAGACTACACCTCTATAAAAAATAAAATAAAATAAAAAATAAATGTCAGTAGAATTAAACAGTGAAGCCACCAGGACCTGGGCTTTTCTTTGATGGGAGATTTTTTGAGGTGGGGGGCACAGGGTCTCACTCTGTCACCCTCCGTGGCATGCAGTGGCACATTCCCAGCTCACTTAAGCCTCAACCTCCTGGGCGCCAGCAATCCTCCTACCTCAGGCTCTCAAATATCTGGAACTACATGTACATGCTACAACATCCAGCTAAGTTTTATATTTTTTGTAGAGACAAGGTCTTGCTATATTGCCAAGGCTGGTCTCAAGCCCCCTGGGCTCAAATGATCCTCCCGCCTCAGCCTCCCAAAGTGCTAGGATTATAAACATTATCCACCAGGCCTGGCCTGATGGGAGCCTTTTTATTACTGGTTCAATTCCTTTTATTGGTCTGTTCAGATTTTCTATTTCTTCATAATTTAATCTTGGTAGGTGGTAGATTGTACGTGTCCAGGAATTTACCCATTTCTTCTATGCTATCTGATTTACTGACGTATAATTGTTCATAACTGTCTTTTATGTTCCTTTGTATTTTTGTGGTATCAGTTGTAATGTGTCCTTTTTCATCTGATTGAGTTTTCTCCCTTACTCTAAAGGTTGTTGACCATCTTTTAAAGAAACGAACCCTTCATTTTGTTGGTCTTTTGTATTGTTTTTCCAGCTTCTATTTATTTTTGCTATGATCTTTATTATTTCTTTTCTTTTACTAACTTTGGGTTTACTTTGTTCTTGTTCTTTTAGTTCCCTGAGGTGCAACTGCATTACGTTTATACTGACCAGTACTGTGCCAGATTTACGACCAGCCAACACATGAGTGGTTATCATACGGCAGAAGCTGTTAAACCACCTAAAAGTACTTTAGACCTAGCATGCCCACACTTCCTAGGAGATAGGTACCAACGTCCCCACTTCACAGAAAGTGAAGCAGACACACTAGAGATTAATTTGTCTAGAAGTACAGAGCTAGTAGGTGGGATCTAAACCCCCTGGCAGTCTGTATCCAAAAAGCAAACTTTTACCTCCATTATTCTGATAGAGGCAGAAAACACCCAAATGCCTAGGCAAATAGGGAAGGGTCCATGGAGAGCCTCCAATCTGCCCAAGTCATTGTGCACAGGGGGCTTGCCTAAACATGCCCATGGTGAAAAATTCCATCCCTTAACACATGCACAGTAAGGGAAATAAATCAGTGTGGAGTGGCTCAGACTAAGGGCCCACATGCACACTGGCAGAATGGGGTGGAACCACCAGGAATTCACGTCTCATGCAGGGGAGGAGCCTGGCCTTTTCAACTCCTGTGTAGTGGCCCGGTATTCAATTTGTGAGGTAGAAACCTGCATGCAGGATCCTTCATTTTGTGGAGAGCTTTCCTTTCACTTAATAAAGTCCCTCCTCCTCACCCTTCAATGTGTCCGCATGCCTAATTTTTCCTGGTCATAAGACAAGAACCTAGATATTTAGCTGAACTAAGGAGCAAGAAATCCTGCGTCAATTTTAATAAATTGCATAACTGATAAAGACAGGAAGAGAGATTCACACTTAACCTGAAAGAAATCCTGGAAAGCTGAAATAAACACCCTTTAGTCATGCTCAAATCAAAGTACTAAAAACTAGAACTGCTCAACAGTATCTAAAGATTTCAACATCAATTTGATTTAATTTAAACACTGAGCACCTACCAACATGTGAACTCTGAATTAGTCACAGGGGCTGCAAAGACGAATAACAACATGCTCCCTTCTTTGATAAAGTCACAAAAACAGTGGGTGGGTTTGTCTGGTTAGGGGAAGGAGTTTGATCAAGAGAGAGACAAGATGAACATGTGATAAGACAGGCATGTGATAAGAAAAAGACACTAGTGTTCTCCGAATTTCTCCTCTATTTTTCTTATTAAAAGAAGCAAAACATTTTCTTCCCCTCCTCAAATAAGACACATTCAGAGTGTTTGTCTCCGGGCAGACAAACTTTGTTCTTTTCAGAACAAATTCACAACTACAGGAAGCACCACCAGCCTGATACTACAGTGCTGTCCTGACAGGTACCCCAGGAACCCTGAGGCCACAGCAATCACCTCCATGCTCTTCTCCCTTGAAAATCAGAATTAACGCATAATTTATGTCAAAGTCTAAACTTACGGAGGAAATGGCTCTTAAAAGCAATGTATTGTCTTCTTACTGTTTGGGAATGTCCCCCTTTCTCAGTCCTTCAGAAGGACGGGAAGAAGTAGTTTGGCTAAAGTTGTTCCGATAGAACCAGTTTCCAAAAACAGGAGGAATTACTGAAGAATATGGCTTAGGCAACCTACACTGGAATTTTCCAGTAGAACCCCCCAGTTTCCAGCAAGCAGAGTGAATGAGAAACCAGGGAATGGGGTTTTGTTCCCAACCATTTGAGCACAAGGTTTATGTTACCTTCTAGTGGGTCTTCATCTTGGTTTTCAGCTAGCGCTGTGGTTTCCTGCAACAAAAAAGGATCTCATGAGAAAATAATTTTACTTAAAGGTTTAATATCAATACATACTTTATTGGGAAAAAAAACCCTCTAGCTCCTAAAAATACTATCTAAAATAAAAATAATATTAAAAATTAATCCTGGCCGGGCGCGGTGGCTCAAGCCTGTAATCCTAGCACTTTGGGAGGCCGAGACGGGTGGATCACGAGGTCAAGAGATCGAGAACATCCCGGTCAACATGGTGAAACCCCGTCTCTACTAAAAATACAAAAAATTAGCTGGGCATGGTGGCACGTGCCTGTAATCCCAACTACTCAGGAGGCTGAGGCAGGAGAATTGCCTGAACCCAGGAGGCGGAGGTTGCGGTGAGCCGAGATCGCGCCATTGCACTCCAGCCTGGGTAACAAGAGCGAAACTCTGTCTCAAAAAGAAAAAAAAAAAAAAGAAAATTAATCCCTTAAAATCAAATTTTGAATTTGATGGAGTCTTTAGGTGACAGTACAATTATGAAAGAGGTAAACTGAGTCACAGAAGAATTGTCACAAAAGAGCAGCAAGCCTAACAAGGGCCTCTGGCCTTTGGATTTTCTGGGACCTAACTAGCATCCTAGAGCCTGAGCTAGGAACCAGACACCAGGGTCCCTGGTTATCAGGCTCCTTATTTCCTGTACCACATGCCTGCCTCTACCCGGATTTCTGCTCCTCCTTCCAGAATAAAATCTATAACGTCTCCATGAGCACATTTTCCTCATGGCCTTCTAATCATATCCCCAAAACCCGTGGCTCAGCTAAGAATCAGGATATTAGGTGCTCAAGAAAATGAGAGGCTACAGCAAAGAAAGCAATCATATTCTTTCATAACGGAAGAAGTGCACTACAGAGGCACTCCCAAAGCAAATCTTGGTTGGTTAACCCAGAGTCTGTTGGATCTACTGGGGCAGCATACATTTTTATGATTCCACTCTAGAGACTTGCTGGGAACCTGTCTTTTTAAGTATGGCCAGCTATTCCAAGGAATCACTCTCTCAAGGAAGGGCTGATCTAGCTCCTGGCACTTAATTAAGCTTCCCTTGCTAATAAGAATGAGAGGATACTGAGGGTCAAAGATGCACCTATGTTTTCTATTCAGTCTATCTCAAAGTATGTGTCCCCTTCACTCTGAAATACGTACAGGCTTGGAAAATAGGTTACCGTAAATTTCAAAAGACAATCTATGTCTTTCTTGTATTTAGATATGGCTAAGACACCAGCCACAGTGGCATGCAGCTCATAGTCTCAGCTACTTGGAAGGCTGGGGCAGGAGACCCAGGAGATGAGGCTGCAGTGAGCTATGATAGTACCACTGCATTCCAGCCTGGGCAAAAGAGCAAGACATCATCTCTAAAAACTAATTCTATAAAAGGGAAAGAAAGAAATGGCTAAGACACCCAGAATCCAGGCTTCCACAAGTCCTTTCTCGTAATACCAGACTAAGTAACCTTACATTTTCTCCTTTCCATATGCGTTCCGGCAAATGTGGATGCTAAATAACCAGGCTGAGGGAAGCAGCAACTATTTGGAGACAAAGCATTCTTTCTGGTCTGAGGGTCACTGGCGCTGTATATGCAGCTGACTGCCTTTAAAGACAAGCATGTTTATAAAAGTCTTTCCTCAGCTAGAGACAGTCTGGGAAAGTGTGCCGATGGGCCACAAAGACCTGAGAATCATGTCGGAGACACCCACCTCCACAATGCCAACATGTAAAGGAGAGGGGTGCAGAGGGGTAACCCCTTAACTTGGGGAGATAAAGGTTATGGACAGGGGCACAGCACATTGGGGGAAGCAGGGAATAAAGCTAAGACATCTCAGCAAGGACACGCTTTACCAGAGAACAACCAAATGGGATGGGTGAGTGAAAGAGCGCTACCACAGAGCCTTCCCATCTTTAGTTTTGCTCAGCAGCTTCCCAACAGGGAACACCCAGCAGGATGGCAAGCAGAAGGCACAGTGGGGTCACCACAACCACAAAATAGATTTATATGATTCTTGTATGAAAACATGCATGGTATAGTAATAATCTGGCTAGAGGGTGAGATAAAAATCCTAGGATATGCCAACAAAAATGGAGAAAGAAATGGAGAGAAGGGGTAGCCAGGTGAGAAAAAAAGAATGTTCATTTCTTAATTTTCTCATGAGTGATGAAAAATCAACAAATACTTTCACTTCTGAAGTTGGTAATATACTCATTCTTTTTTTCCTTAAAAAAAATTTTTTTTTAACATGCTAGTCTATACTCATTGTTACACTTCTCCATTTAAAGATATAAGGGCAAACACCAAAAACAGACCATCTCCCAAAAAAAGAACAGAAAGGGAAGAGGCGAAAGAAAAAAAAAGAGTGACAAGACCTCAGGCAATGTGGTGAAATTTTTTTTTGTAAGTGCTTCAATATCAAACATCTGTTACAAGGGAAAAACCCAAATTGGGCCAAAAGGGGGAAAAAATGACAAGAAATCTCACATATTTTATATAAGAGGCACACATAAAACAGACCTGAGAAAAACTGAAAATGAAAGTTTGGGTGTTAAAATATCATAATGTAAAGCAAATGTAAGGTTTAAAAGCCAAGGGTCTAGATGTGAAATTCAACTTCGGTTTTAAGGCAAAGATCATTACACAAACGGTATCACTAGGCATATTGGGAGAAAAGCTAGGGTGGGGGACTTCTGTGACATTTAGAGCGAAAAGTGTTAATCTCTCTAACCTGTGAATATCTTATGCAGTCAAGCAAGAGGAACACAACTCAACAGAAAAACTAAAAAGATGGTATCAGAGTCACGGAACACAGATACCAGTAAACACTTCAAGAGATATTTGCCCTCAATAACAGACAAATGCCTCCCTGGCCTATCATATTGCCCAATCATATACAGAGAGGAATGTCCAGTAGCAAGAACACCCACCACAATCATGAAAAGTACAAATTTTTGCAGACTTCAAGTAATTTGCTATTTAAACATTTTTATGTTACATCCGTTAATCCAGCCCTTCCAGAAATAAATTCTTGGAAAAAAATCAACACTCAGACAAATGCTTGAAGATAAGTAAGTTTGTTAAAGCCCGGAAAATATTTAAAATGTCAGATAAGGGATGAGCTAAAAATCACAATGTATCTAAATGAGCTCACTCTGTTGCTCAGGCTGGAGTACAATGGCACAATCATGGCTCACTGCAGCCTCAAACTCCCGGGTTCAAGTGATCATCCCGCCTCAGTCTCCCAAGTAGCCAGGACTACACGTGTGAGCCATCTTGCCCAGGCCATAAATGGGCAATTTTTAAAGAAAGGTCTCCTTATGCAGAAGCAAGCAAAGAGCAAAACAGTATGTATTACATAGTTCACTCTTGCCTAAATCATCCCCTAACCACCAAAACAGAAAGACAAACCACACTGATTTAGCAAGAGTACAGGGGAAAGATCTAGAAGACATCCATCCAACAGTAAACTTTCTTCTAAGTGGGAAGGGAGTGGGGAAGGAGGAGGAGTGGGGGGGGGCTTTTCCCTTACTTCAATACATCTTCCTGTGATTTGAGAAATATGTCACTTCAGTAATTCAAAGTATTACAACATCTTTTTAAAGTGTTTGTATCTAACTGCTATAAAACAAACCCCAAAACTACCTTTTGTCCTATATTAAGTGTTAAAGAGTAAAATTTATTGAATTATGATCATCTAAAATTTAGTAGCAAGAATTTAGACAAAGACTTCGTCAGCCTTTTGTTTCTGGAAGAGAATGAGAAATTATCTGCAAGTGAAAACTTATGGTTTACACAAGTCCAAACTCAGCAAATCATAAAAATTAAACATATACAGGAGACTTTCTGTGTATCAAGTATACACCTCAATAAACCTGTACAAACGTTTTTCTTAGGCTATCAGCTTTACTCTCTAGCTTTAAAACAGGTAGCAAAAGCCGTGGCTGTGGGAATTTGGATCAGAGGATAATAATGTGTGAAGATAGGAAAGTGATGTTTACTATTATCAGGCCCATGAATGACACAAGATTCATTCCAGCAAGGGATACCTTAGGCATAACCGAAGTTCCAGCTGTGTGTTGAGGGATCTCACGCGCAGAAAAACAATCCTGTCCATTTCCATCCACCGCACAGCCGTAGCTGTAGCCAGAAAGAAGGTAAGAGCTGGGCTGTGGCATGTACCAGTTGCCACAGTGGTAACCCTGGATGGGCTGGAACTCCTGCTTCACTCTAATAGCAGAGGGGAGACCACAGCAATGACTACCGTCACCAACTAACACAGAATCATCCACCAACCCCCAGACTTCTTTCCAGGAAGTTTGTAGTAAGTTGAACACCTATGTTCAAAGCTATTGTTTGTCAGTTACCAACAATTATGTAGCAAATAGAACGGCAACAGCTTTCTTTTTCATTCAAAGGAGAAAACTGCTCACCTTTGCCAGAAGCAGTAATAGTCATTTTGTTGAGCTATGCCAAAACCTGCAAAACTCTCCTGTTCTGCCATTTATCCAGAAACTTTACAAAAAGAGAGCAGAATCCAACCTGCGTCAAAAATTCCGGCCTGTGGGCTAAAACCTCTCAACCCTGACAAGTAAGTCTCGAAACTACCTCTGAGATAATTACATTTAGTGGCAATTCCTGCTAGGCAATTAATTGCTTGACTTTCCTGACAACAGGGCAAGGTGTGGGGTGGGGGAGGGGTACACTGAGGCACCTGGGGGAAATTCCGCCACCTGTTCCTCTGGCTTCCACTTGCCGGCCCTTTCTCCCAACTGTCAGGCCTGGGGGAGCCAGCAGAACCCCAAGGAGGGATAGAAGGGGAAGATGTGTCAGTCGACAATGAAAGACAGTCTCCACCGCACCCCTTATCATAACAAGTAAGGGAGGAATCTTTAATAACAAAACCTTAAGACAAATACAAAAAAATCCTCAGTTATCAGCTGAGAATAGCTATTGGAACTAGCTAGTGCTTTTTTTTTTTTTTTAAATCCCATGCAGGTTGAAAGCATAATCCAAACTAGCTGCAAAATTAAGAGGCAGGGAAGAAAGCCTTCCTTTGCTCCCTTCCCTCCTGTCTCTCTTCCTTTTCTCTCTCTTACACCCTACATTAATGAGAGTACAGGATACAATTTTAAAGAAATATTTCTATGGTTCGGTATTTTTTTAAAAAGCATGATAAAACTTCCCAAAATTTAACGTGCATACAAATGACCTAGACTTGTTTAAAATGTAGGTTCTCTAGGCTGGCACAGTGTCTCACATCTGTAATCCCAACACTTTGGAAGGCTGAGGCGGACAGATCATGAAGTAAGGAGTTCAAGACTATCCTGGCTAATATGGTAAAACCCCATCTCTACTAAAAAAAAAAAAAATACAAAAATTAGCCAGGCATGGTGGCACACACTTGTAGTCTCAAGTACTCAGGAGGCTGAGGCAGGAGAACAGCTCGAACCCAGGACACGGAGGTTGCAGTGAGCCGAGATCACGCCACTGCACTCCAGCCTGGCAACAATGTGAGACTCCACATTAAAAAAAAAAAAAAAAAGTAGATTCTTTAATTTGACAGATCTGGAGTGGAGCCTCAAATTCTGCCTTTATAGCCAGCTCCTGCCACTTTAAGCAGCAAGGATACACAGTGTCAAAATTCAAGATAACTTTTGAGTCCACAGGGGCACTTAGGGTGTGGCCATTTCCCTGCAGCTGGCTAATAACTAAGGGCTTAATGCATTTTCTATTCACCTGTAATATGAAAAATAGCAGACATGATGAATTCAAAACATTCTGATCATTCAGTCATTCACCAGTTATTTATTGAGCCATTACTGCAGTCATCCCTTAGTATCCATGGGTGATTGTTTACAGGATCCCCCTCAGATACCCAAATCCTTCGATGCCCAAGTATAAAATGGTGTAGTATTTGCAAAGAACCCACACACATCCTCCCATAAACTTTAAATTCTGTCTAGATTACTTATAATACTTAATACAATGGCTGTACATTACTTCATGAGGGTTCAACAGCGGTATCCAGCATGCGGCAAATTCAAGTTTTACTTTTTGGAGTTTTTGTTTTTAAGACGGAGCCTCCCTCTGTCACCCAGGCTGGAGCACAGCGGTGTGATCTTGGCTCACTGCAACCTCTGCCTCCCAGGTTCAAGTGATTATCCTGCCTCAGCCTCCCCGGTTCAAGTGATTATCCTGCCTCAGCCTCCCCAGTAGCTGGAATTACAGTCACCCACCACCACACCTGGCTGACTTTTGTAATTTTAGTAGACACGGGATTTCACCATGTTGCCCAGGCTGCAGTGCAGTGGTATGATCTCGTCTCACTGCAACATCTGCCCTCCAGGTACAAATGATCCTCCTGCCTCAGCCTCCCTAGTAGCTGGGATTACAGGCAACTGCCACCCCTGGCTTTTTAGTTGAGACAGGGTTTTACCATGTTGGCCAGGCTGGCCTCAAACTTCTGACCTGAGGTGACATGATTGCCTTGGCCTCCCAAAGTGCTGGGATTACAGATGTGAGCCACTGTGCCCAGCCTCCCAAATATTTTCAATCCATGATTGGTTGAATCCAGGGATGTAGAACCCACAGATGCTGAGGGCTGATGGTATGCCCAAGGCAAGGCAACTGGCATTGGTGATATAGTGGAGTTTATCTGGAGCGAATCTCCCCATGTCTTCAAGGGATTTTATTGATTAGCAGCTGTGGCAGACATTGTTAGGTGCCACCCAATATTGATTTATTTTCTTCCGTTATAACAATTCTGATTTCACTTGGGCCAGCAATAGGCTCAAGCTAAAAGACTACATTTCCTAGCTTCTCCCTTGAAGCAAGATGTGGCCAGGTGGCCAATCTGGCTAAGAAGATCTAAATAGAAGTATTAGAAGGGGATTGGGGAAAGCTGTGTGGGAAAAGGGTATTTGCTAACCTGGAAGGGGGCCTTTTTATCTTCTACTCTCTCCCCAGGTCTGGTGCTGGGATTACAAATATGACAGGTGGAGTCAGAGTAACTCTGCAGCTATCTTGGCTATGAGGTGACATGAGGGATAAACCACTATTGTTATGTCAGGTTAAATACAATTCCTAACTACTGTAGCTTAGACAACCAATAAAAATGTTAAAAATTCTTTTTCTGTAAAAACTTTTTTTTACTTATCTCATTTTAGGACTGACTTTATTTCACACACAAAAAAATCCCAATTATGGCTATGACCAGGTGAGTGTTGAGGCTGCAGTTGGAAAGGAATGTAGAAGTTGAACATTGAGGAGGTGGTAAGGAGACTGAGGGAGAGGTCAATGTAATCATGCTGAAACTACCCAGGAAAATGGCAGCAGCTGTGGTGAGGAAGGAGCCCCCCCCCCCCCACCACCGGCATCTAGGATCACCTCCCCCTTGATCTCCACACTGCATTTCACTAGAAGAAAAGGCTGGCTGGCTGACTGGTGCCTCCTAAATCATCTTCCTATAAGATAGCAGGCTTGGTATGGGGGAAATCTCTCAGGAAGACACTACTTTTACTTAAACAAGATCAAACCTCCACCCCACTCCTCTATTTGGAGGCCAGAACCTTTCACATGTAATTCCTAAAACTGTAAACCCAAGACCCTTTCATGTGTTATTCCTAAAACTGTAAACTCAAGACCCTTTCATATGTGATTTTTTTTTTTTTTTTCTGAGGCGGAGTTTCGCTCTTGTTACCCAGGCTGGAGTGCAATGGCGCGATCTCGGCTCACCGCAACCTCTGCCTCCTGGGTTCAGGCAATTCTTCTGCCTCAGCCTCCTGAGTAGCTGGGATTACAGGCACGCGCCACCATGCCCAGCTAATGTTTTGTATTTTTAGTAGAGACGGGGTTTCACCTTGTTGACCAGGATGGTCTCAATCTCTTGACCTCGTGATCCACCCAAAAGGCCTTGGCCTCCCAAAGTGCTGGGATTACCATATGTGATTTCTAAAGCTATAAACCCAAGACCCTTTCACTTGTAATTTCTAAGTCTGTAAACCTAAGATCCTTTCACTGTGTAATATCTAGAGTGTAAGCCCACATAAAGGCAGAGCTTCTCTTTTAGGGGAGCTTGGCCGTTTGGACAAAACATAAAGCCTTGCTCCCGGGCCGTAATAATAAAACCCCTTCCTTTTCTAGTTCAGTGTCCAAGAGGTCTGTTTCTCATGGCTGCTCCTGCTTCAGTGGAACAGAAGGTTGTGAGCAGTATCCCAGGGAACAGATGGGCACTTAAGGCCTTGGAGAGGACAGTGACCAGAAAGGGCTCACAAGTACTGTTTTGTTCTCTAAACACCCCAAATGCAAATCTTCTGTTTCAACTAGATTACTCCCATGAAGCAGGTGAAGCAAATTCTACTTGGGCCCAACATTGGGCAGGTTCGGAGCAAGAATAGCATTATCTCCACTTCCCTTTGTGCTGGGCAACACAAACCAGACCAAAACCTCTGTGAATACATTCACATGCAACCTCCACAGTCCTTGAGTTTAGCAGAGTTGCTCCTTGTCGCACTGAGAAAGGAGAATTCAGCAGGAATATGAGACTCTTGTGATATTTCTAACAGGGCTGATTTTTCTCTACTGTATCTTGCTTTTACCCCAGGATACCCACTTTACTACCCTCACCACCCAAGAGAAAAAAAAAACAAAAACTGGCTTTTACTCTAGCAAACCAAAGCTCGGCACTCAACAAATATTTGTTGAATGAATGAGTAAATCAGGGCGTAGCTCAAGTGCAAAAATCTTTTCAATCAATAATTTAAAAGCAAAGCCACAAAAGAAGATAATCCTCTTGCGCTTTAGTATTCATTACTGAACTCTCAACATTGGTTGTTTCTTGGCAGCTGCAGATTTCACAGGAAAGAGATTAAATGGCTTCTTATATCCTGTGTTTGGAGAGAACAGAAGGCTTTACGGGAAGTTATGCTCAGTTCAAATCCAGTTAAACAGGTATAAAACTTTCTATTGTCTTTCTCCAGACAATGAAAATCCGCAATCTTAAGATCCGAAACTGTTGAAAAATGCGCACTTTGAATGAAGAGACCTTCTTCCAAACAGGCTTTGTGTGAGCAACACAGCTGTTTATTCACCTGGGTGCAGGTGGGCTAAGGCCGAAAAGGGCATTAGCAAAGGGCAGTGGGATAGGAGTTGGTTTTACAGGTTTGGGTAGTATTTTTTTTTTTTTTTTTGAGACGGAGTTTCGCTCTTGTTACCCAGGCTGGAGTGCAATGGCGCGATCTCGGCTCACCGCAATCCTCCGCCTCCTGGGCTCAGGCAATTCTCCTGCCTCAGCCTCCTGAGTAGCTGGGATTACAGGCACATGCCACCATGCCCAGCTAATTTTTTTTGTATTTTTAGTAGAGACGGGGTTTCACCATGTTGACCAGGATGGTCTCGATCTCTCGACCTTGTGATCCATCCGCCTCGGCCTCCCAAAGTGCTGGGATTACAGGCTTGAGCCACCGCGCCCGGCCTTGGGTAGTATTTTTGGGGGGCGGGGGT